ATAAAGAAGAGTGTCATTATATATATTGTTTCGTTGTTCTCTTATCAACAAAAAAATGCGATATAGCTTATCGGTTCTATTTAAAAGTCTTCGAGTCGTTAAGAGTCGATTTTATGAGCATATTGCACAGTATATTACGATACGATATCATGTATATTTTCAAGTAAATTGCAATTGTTGTAAAGCCGAAAATGTTGCGATCAACTTTTAACGATTTCTATAACAGAGCACCGTCGCAAATCAATTAAACGATAGGGTGTTAATTGTGCAACAGATGTTGCGTTCAGATGAGGACAGTCTTCCTTTTGTCCGAGATAAATCTATCGTGTATTAAGTGGGTGTTACGCGTGGGGTCGAGCACGATTAGGCGATTACACGCTTTCACGCGGCGTGGTAGGCAGTTCCGCGCGATAGGCACCCTAAAATTGAGGGACCAACCCGTACGCTCCCATAACTGCTACTTAGCATTTAATAAACACATTCAATTGAATTGATACTGAGTAAGCGTTAGTAATTGAACCGAGTACGAAAGAGCTTTGATCTTATCTCAGATAAAAACAGGATTCGATAATACGCAAAATCAAGAATAAGAAATTATTAAAAATATTAATTTGAAGAACTGAATTTGAAGAACTAAAATAATAATAAAATTTTATATTTAAAAATGCGACATGTATACTTTGCATTAAATTATTGCATCATGCAGATTATGATGAACGAAGGTTCTTTCGATCATTTATTAGAGTCTCGATTAACAGTATCTATAATTTTCTAATTTCCTACAACCAAACGTGTTTATTTTTTTAATTTAAAAAACCGTTAATCTAAGATTTAATTTTTAAACTTATTTAACCATCTGATATGCAGAATCATCTTGACTTGAAGTTAAGGTCCCAACTGAGGTCAATTCTAAATTAAGAAGCTCAGTAATTACGGTCTGGATTTTTGTATAAATACTCAAAGTATAAAATATTGCGAAAAGGATGTTCCATCTATGCGATATATCAGATAGCGGTCAACACATCGTCGTCTTGATTATCGCGTGACGATTACGATGGAAAGTTGCGCATCAAGTACGGTGAATTAACGAGCATAACTGCCTTGTGCCGATTTATGCTTTTGCAATTGAATTTTGAAACGGTTTCCCGATCGCGATTCGTGACACGCGCTTAACACTGGTGGTATTGATGAGCACATTGACCGGATGTAACGTGTGGTCGTTCCTCTCTCACACGTAGATATTAATATAATTACTTATATTGAAGTAAATATAAAACAACAGATGATTTATATTACAACGTTATCAAAACATTAAAAATTTGTTGAATTTAATTATTATTTTAGAAAATAAACAGCATGATTGATTAACTAGATATTATACGATTACAAAATTGCATCCTGTTCGTAAAGTTAAGTAAAATATAGAAAAAAAAAATTTTGTATCTGCATTAGAAATAGTCCACTCAAGTCTTTGTTAAAATTTGTGTAGAATTTTTAACATATCCGAGTGTTAGTTTAACATAATATGTTTGACTTATTTCAATATTTTGTGTAAATTGATATTCAATATTTCTTAGTATTAAAACAACTTCAACAAATAACATAAGAATAATGCTTTTTAAAACATAATAAACACGTGTATGCGCGCGCGCGCGCGCGCGCGCGTGTGTGTGTGTGTGTGTGTGTGTGTTTTATGATAAATGCATAAAATGTGTTAATTTATTATAATGTTAAATTTATTAAGACATGTTAATTTTAATGAAGAAATATAATTCCTTACAAATTTTGTATTATGTGACATGATATCTGAAAGACAAACATCTTCAGGATATCTTTGTTCGTATTTTGGACATTGTTTTTTAGATAATCAATTATTGGTAAAAAAAAGTATTAATCGAATACTTAATAGTATCGCGAGCAAGATTCCGTTTTCGTATGCATTGAGCTGCATTTCGGTCACACTGTTGCTACTTTCACGATCGATTGATCGTTACCAAATTCCTCAGAGTACGTTACACTCAATGCCGAGTGTTCAGACATATTCGCAACAATCGCGCGCGATCATGCCGCGATTCGCGAAGTAATGGCACGGCGGTTTCTAAACTCGATGGAATTTCTTTCTTAGAAGCAGAATCGACCATAATTTCATGAGTTGCGATTGTCGCCATTATAGGTGCCGACATAATACTTCGTTCTTATTCCTGGCATGACTTCCTCGCCTTTTCCGCCGGCGATGTCCCATGTAATTGGGTTACGAGAACGACCGTCTACATTATTACGAGTACTCCTCCTTGGCAGTCCTTCGACATTATCCTGTTCCACCATCGTGTTAACAACGTTCTGTACTTTGATCGCAGCTCTAACTAGCTTTCGTCACTTACCTCGCTCAAGGTCTGCGATAATTTTTGCATTCTTATCAGCAACTGCATTATACGCTCGCCTATATTTATACAATACTCTGCAGTCGCCAATATTTACACAATACTCATAGAAAATATTCGTAAAAAAAAAACCGAGGCGGTCGCTGTTACGAAATATATGTCTCGAGTATTTTAGTAAATGTCTCTCGTAACGTTATATAAAATTGGGTCATATCAAATATTAATTCCCAAAAATACATATAGCGACATCAAGAAGTCTTTTCCAAATAATTAAATGGACGCACGTTTTCATCGCTATTATAAAATTTACGGCGGCTTCAATTGATGCACCAGCATCGTGTAATTACTCGATGCTCCATATACAGCTTGCTCGTTGTGCAGGATTGAAACGCGTGCGAATCATTCAATAATAAATCGCCAATAACTTCGTTCCAGTTCCGTCAAGATGACCCAAATAATGCACTTTTCGACCATCGCGGCATAATCGGTGACAATTATGACAGCGTGTGGGTAGCAATGGGGGTTATTGGGCCGCATAAGAGGTAAAAAAAAGAAAGGAAAAAAAAAAGGGAGAAGGTACAAGAGATGGGTACGTTTTTGGATAATGACCCACGCGCTCGAGCGCATCCTGCATGAAACGGATAATTGAAGTGGGTGCACCGTGATTAATTAACGTCCACGTACGACTGACCGTTGCATCGTCGGCCGACCGGCTTTTATATCTCGTTGATCGTTCGCCCGACGTTTCGCTGTGAGACTGATTAATTAAGTAACAACTGTCTGTCGGATCATCGACGGGCCTTTATTGCGCCCTGAAACTGTCTGTACTACGCGTAATACTTCGGCATTACCGCCGAGAGAAAGTTTAATCTTTCGCAAAAAAGGAAAAACGCCCGTGGAACGCCGATTTCTTTCGCAATAAATTTTCTACGACATGGACCGACCGAGGACTAACGTATTATTATCGCACTAAGTTGTGTGACTCGTGGTATAAAGCTGATAGCGTAACATTTATAATTATTCGACTCGTTTGATTGCTATTCCGAATTTCATGTAATCGCGTTTAATTAAGCTCATGTGTATGGAAATTGTGCTGTCTTTTTTATAATATCTTTCCACGCGATCCATTTACATGCGATGCGATTATTCTTTACGTCTCAAATATACTTTCACTTTAAGTTATCTCTAAACAATATTACAATTAAAATTAACAAGTTAATTATTTTTAATTTTTACAAGTAATCAATATATAAAAATTTTGTAAACAGAAAAGAATTTATCAATTTAATTGATGCTTTCTGATAAAAAAATTAAAAAATATTTGATAATCTATGCTCACAATATCGACAACTGTGGAAAAATTTTGAAATCCGCAATAAATCCTATCAAAATCCATTATCAAAAAACGGAAGTAAGAATCCGTGGATATACTACTGCGACATTAATTGATAAGAAAAGAAATTGGTATGTACTTAGTAGTGGATTCAAGTTTCACTCGCTGTATAGAATGTTAATCGACTCTCCATCATTTATCTTATCAAGTAATAAGTGTACGACTTTAATTACGGAACTTATTTAGAAAAGCAGCCTTCGCTACTTTAAATTAATGACCACGATCAAACTAGCTCATTACATATCGGCGAGATTAACTAGGTTGCAGATGTCAAGAAAAAAATAATTATCGCTATTACACTTGCCTTTCCTCCTGCTATTTTAATTTTCGCACGATGCTTAGTCGGTTGTGAAGATCTGTCAGCTAGTGAAACGTTCAAAGTAAATCCCAGCAGGCGGCGCCACGAGATTAGCCGATCGACTTACCGATCATAGAGAGAGCTCTAACGATTTAAAGCGATTTATTGATAATTGTTGATTAAATTGTTGATTAAAAGTTTCAGACTATTTTATATAATTGATAAATTATTTCAAAATATAAAAAAATAAATATTTATAAATAGGTAAATATACGTTTAATATTAGATGTATAATAAAGAAATACAAAGAGAAATCTGTTATCGACTGAGTAGAAAAGACGAGTTAGATTGTAATCAAGTAGATAATATAGTGATCTGTTGTACATTGTGGATAATACATAATATAATAATTTGAAACAAATGAAAAACTGATTTAATATTTAAAAATAATCAGTTTAAAAAATATATATTTGTAAAATTATTCTTCTATTTTAGAAAATGTCAAGTGCAAACATTTAAAAAAATAATATATATAACAAATTCTTTCATATTATTTTAGTACTCTAAACAACAAAACAATATATAAAACCTATATGCGTGTTTTCTGCTAGATTGCTTGCGTTTTAATAAATTGCTGGAAATTCTACTATCTATGTGGCGCAATGATAATTAATAACAATGATAATTAATAAATAACCGGACATATAAAGAGTCATCTCAAAAAATATAGATACTTGATTTCCACAAAATAACCGGCTAGAAATAAATCCGTTCAAGCGAATTTTATCCTTAATCCTATGATTTTAATTTGCACAAACATTCTGCGGGAATGAATGCATAGCTAAAATGAATATCTCTATCGTTTTGCACCATTCTCTCTATTCTGCAAGACCATGCTTTCTGACCATATTAAGTCTACAGGTGCGAAAGGAATAATCATTTTCGTCTTCCTCTTTTTCGGCGTCGTCTCGACTCCTTCCGTGTTATTTCTTCATTTCGCTGGCAGATAAATAAAAAAAGGAGGAAGTGTGCACACTTGGCAGGGGTCTTTGCAGTCCGCGCCTGTCACAAAGGAATCTTTTATTATCTCGCACTTATTGCAACCACCTTTCGAGTCCTCCGCGACAGAATTTCTTTCGCATCGAAGCGTGACGGGCGGCTCAATAGGTCGCGAAAAAAGTGAAATCTTCTCTTAGGAGAGCAACTCGATTCCTCTTGGGGCTCTCCTTTCGATTCCATTAACTGCTATGGGACAATCAACGTTACTTACCATCGACGTGAAGTAAAACTTCTCGAATTCCCGTTCGTGAAGACGTGCCGACGTCAAATTCGTCGCTATATGTTGTGCGTGCTTCGACAGAATATCTTCGCCTTTCTTACAAAGCCACGATAATACCTGCAAAAAAATCGAACATAGTTATATTAATTTTGATTCGTAAAACGTTATTGATGTAGGCAATTAAGATCATCAACTATCATAAGAAATTTAATAGAAAATTTTTTAATTAAATTAGAGAGAACAATTACATATTTTATGTGTAAGTTATTGATAAAAACTGATTTTAATAAACTTTTAAGAACATAAAAATATATATTTCAAATATTTAAAAGTCTCTTTTTTATTTTTGTCATTTTGACATTAACTTTGGAAATAAAAGTGATAAAGCTGTGAAACATTGTTGTTAATTATTGTTACTCTATCTTTCAAATATAATCGCTTCAATGTTTCTTCTTCTTAATGAGCTATCGAATAAGTCGCAAGACCATATACGTAAAATGATGCTTTAAAACGTAACCGGTTTTAAAAGGAACGAAGACATAATTTATACCGGACGTAACAATTATCTTGTATTCTCTCTCAAATCCGCAACTTTTCCTTCAAGATTGATATTTAGGAGGCATAAGATATATTTGGAAATTTCTATGTAAGCGTTCGTAGCTTTATGGATCTAAATAATAAATCTATTATTATCAGTTATAAATCTTTCAAAAATGTCAAAAAATTCAATTTTCTCTATGTTACATCCGCAAAAATTTGGATTTTTCTTATTAAAATAAACTTAATATTCTTTTTTATATCATTTTAGTTCCATAAAATTAGTTGATGTCTTTTAATTAACGTAAATTAAATAGGTCTTATAGACAAGTAACTATGTTACAGATTTAAGCGTCACTCCCGGATTATTAATAACTACACGTGTACATTATTGTATTATTGTAATATTGTAATATTGTAATATTATTAATATCGAATACAATAGCATTGTTAATGCTAAAATCGGATAGAAAAATCTCCTAACAATAAGCGGATTTGCACCGAACAACCGTTAAAACGCAAGTCCATTCTCGAAAAACAGTGCGGATAGCTTCAGCTGATATTATAAAAATGTCGATGTTTAGTAAAGCCAGATAATGAGTGATTGCTGCGCATCCAAATTCGCTGGATAATTAAAGCTCTCTGGCATGGCTGTCTCTAACTTCGCAGTCAGTGGGAATTATTTACAGCAATATCACTCAGTAATATTACACACGGGATACGTAAATATGTTCTCAAGAATATGTTGCTCCATTTCGATCATAAATACAATAGATGTAACAAGACAATCGAACTCGCACAAATCGACGACTCATTAGTCACGTCTTATATAATTCCTCCCTGCAAGAAGATCTCTACCAATGTTCACGATATTCTTTGTTATGCAATCATAGTCTTCATTATGACATAACGATCAAACGACAGAAATGATCTTTTGATAATGATCGGTCCATGTCGAACGCGTGCTCTCGCTCGATATTGCCACATTTGCCGTCATGCTCCAGAACTCTCAAACAAACGATGGACGTATCGCTCGGGGAATTATTACTTATGACTTATGATGACTTAATGCTCGCTCTGATCAAAGCATTAATCGTCGTTAATTTTAGATATATATTTCTGCCGTTGGACGACGGTTATAAAGAAAAAGATTGAAAAATGTAACTCCTAATATCTCCAAAACGTCAAAATATATTATGTACATGTATCTCAATTAGACATTAGTGAACAGAAAAAATTGAAGAAAAAAAAACAGGAAATTTATATAAAACAAGTTCTCAAAAGCGACAACTGTAATTTGCAGCAACGTAGATCCTGAAACTAGATCTAAATCGAGATATTCTAAATAGCTATCTTACTTATTGTTACTTTCTATTATACAAAATAAAAAATCGATCCAATAAAAAATTCGGATCGAGGAAATAAGATAAAATCGATTTCCTGATCAATTTATCGATTTCTTTTTTCTTTTTCCTAATCAAAGATTAGTCTCTGCATAATCTGACTTATAATACGATCTCTGATAGCTCGATGTCACCCTCCGTCATAGTCTTGTATCTGTCGCGATCATTTTATCTGTCACATACATGCTGTCAAGAACCAAAGCATGTTTCTTAGGAAGGAATTTACGACGACGCGCACATCGAAGAGCTTGCTGATAATTAGATCGCTTCTACGTACATTGCGCGTGATAAATGACTAATCTTACCACAACGAGTGGAAAATATGCGAGGATAATTAACAACAGCAGCCGGAGGAGAATGCGCCGGTAAGGAAAGTGGAGACAAGCAAGGGAAAATGTTGAGAGGAAAAGAAAGAAAAAAAAAAAGAAAAAAGAGTTCTGTCATGATATTGTCTGATAGTGTTTAAAATTATAAGCTTAAAATACACAAAGTTTTGTATAACAAGAACATTATCAATTTCAAACATTATCCAAAAATTACTTATAATTTGTTTTTATCAAAAAAACAAATTGTGTGAATTTTTGCTTAAGTCGCCGATTTTCGCAATTTCAGAATGCTTCTCGTAAAAAATACAAATAATAAGAAAGACTTAATTATGATGTATCGAGAGATTTATATCTAAGAATACATTAATTTCGTTTTTGACAATAACAAGAGTTTTAATGTTGGCAGCCCTCAGATATGTTCAAAAAATTTATATAATTGAGCAGTCAACATTAATTCTCGACAACAAATCATTTGGATCAAAGCAAAAATTTTCTAAACTATTCTACATCTGTACAATTGATACTGAGGATCTAAATTGTAGATAAGAAAACTTGGAGCCTTTTTGTATTAATCGCGTAGATTTATTTGCATTTTATACTTCAAATAGGACTCTTTAAAAATTTAGATTTAGTTTCATACTAATAGTAGTTGAGGATTAAAAATCTCGTTGTTAAAAAAATAATTAGTGAGTCCCAAGATACAACATGTCTCAAGACACTCCTCCTCTATTGTACATTATTAAGATGTATATTATTTAAATTATTTAAAAGTACACCGCATGAAAGATTATGTTTGAGATGAAATGAAGACAAACGCAGAATGTTCGCTGATATTTGTAGATATAAGACAAGAATTGTATACACATGAGTATCAGAAGCGAGGAGGAAGGGGACTCCGCCTCTGCAAAGAAGGTGGACCTCTTGAAGGAGCATGATTGGACTCGAGGAGAAATGGAAACCGCTTCGATCATAAGCAAACCACGGTTTATTTAGGTCACTGGGCCGCGTTAGGTGAGCCGCCGATCGAATGTCGTGCATACAACTCTGTACAACACGCGGATCCTTCGAGTGTGCAAACCGCTTGTCTGTGGAATGGTAATGTAGGAGCGGACAGCGAATTTCGCGTATCGCCTTTGATCGCGTACGATTTATCTCACGCATAGATCGCGCCCGAGAATCACGCACACCGTTGCGATTTCTAGGTAAATATGCGAAGAACGGATATGCGGATGTTCATTGTACAGATTAGAGAATGGTATTTATGTCTCGTGCAATGTCTCGTCCACTTAAACGCTCGAACGTTGGATTTCGCTAAACGCACGCGACGATAAGACATATAAAAGACATATAAAATATAAGCCATATTCTTATTTTCTAATAAACAGTTTTCTAATAGAAATATTATTCAATAAAAGAATATAGAATTTCATTTTTAAAACAGTAAGAACAAGAGATACATGATGAGACATTACATGATAAAGGATAAAGTATACTGTCCAATGGTAGTAAATCATTTACAGAAAAGAATAATTACGGCACAGAAACTTTGTATTTTTTTTTACTAGATGTGCCGATGTGTCAGACAAGTACCGGTCGTTTTTGCAACTTCTCAACTCCGAACGTTGAGTTATCGATTGGTCGGGGAGGCAAACGTGGGAAATGAAAGTTAAATCACGCGCTAACTAATGTACACACTTCGCACAGGCCATAAAAAGATTATAATATATCATCATCCGGGAATTATATGCATTAAAAACCGCCGGTATTTAAAGCGGGCGTACGAATATTTCATGCGCGACGCCGGAACGTGATGCTTAACCCAATTACGAATTTTTCTCCATCTCGAGAGCGAAGAGAACCCGTCGTCATGTCATTTCGTATCGAAAGTATATATCGGTTATCGAGCAGCGCGTGAAGCACGTGGGAAGTAAAAACTAAACCGCCGTGTAAAAGCGACGTGCGTCTCGTTGTAAAATTAACGCTGTATAAATCATCGTGCCAATGTTGCATTCATCGACATTAGTGAAGGCTCACTCCCGACGTCTTGCATTCCGTAACCGTAAGAATCATAAGACCATAAGAAGCGAGACATGCGATGAGTATCTCGTTATCATCGTATTTTCCTCCCCTTCTTCCTGATTCTCCCTTGATCCTCTTGGAAATACTTGTATGCGATTTTTTTCTAAGCTGCTGGTTTACCATAATTGCAACATCTCTGACAACATTGCTTGACACGAATGAAAGTACAATGTAGAATTTTGAATAGTACCAATGTATCCATACGAAATGAACTTTCAAAAGATTCTACAGACTCGTGAGATTATAAATATTCACACAGCGGAAAGTATTACAAGAACCAAGACCTTTTGCCATCCATTTAATGCTAAATTCTCACTTTGTGGTGAACATGGTTCTGAATACCGACTGCGGAGTTGTCGGTGTAAAGTGGAAAAAATCACGTGTTCGCGCGCACTAAAAAAAGTCACTTGCATTGATTTGAATATCGTTAAGAGATTCGATACGCCACTCGGCTATTACTACCGAAACGATTCTCGTAAGATGCAACACTGAGTCTCGTACCATCCCGTTAAGGGAAAGATACACGGAAACCTCTTCGATCATAAGCAGACCTTAGGTTATACGGGTCACTGGGCCGTGCTAAGTGAACGACGATCAAATACCGTAAACACGTGTGCGCACGTATAGCGTGTATACGTGTATACGTATGCGTGAGTGTGTGTATGAGGTGAGTCAGGTGCGAGCGTGCAAACGAACGTTGCACCGCCGCCGCAGCCATCTCCTCCTGCTCCTCCATCTTCTCTTCCTCGTAGCATGCAGCGATCTCACGCGT